AGGTATCCTACCGCGCCTTATTGCTACACTCGTCTCACGACGTCGCGAGGTGAAGAAGCTCATGAAGGCCAAGGATGCCACTCCAGATGAGTTGGCAACTTGGGACATCAAGCAAATGGCTCTGAAGCTCACTGCCAACTCTATGTACGGATGTTTGGGATACACCAAGTCTCGATTCTACGCTCGACCACTCGCTATGCTCACGACATACAAGGGTCGTGAGATTCTCCGCAAAACCAAGGACATGGCCGAGGAGAAGGCATTGCGCGTCATCTATGGTGACACTGATTCCGTCATGATCAACACAAACGTCGATAACATTCAGGATGCGCTGAAGCTGGGCAACGAGTTCAAGAAAGAGGTCAACGACAGCTACAAGCTTTTGGAGATCGACATCGACAACGTCTTCCGCCGTATCCTGCTGCATGCGAAGAAGAAATATGCTGCCATTAACATGGTCCCTGTCGATGGCAAGTATATCGAGAAACTCGAAGTCAAAGGTCTCGACATGAGGCGCAGGGAGTACTGTGCTCTGTCCAAGGAGACATCAACGTAAGTTCTCCAGCCTACGGAGGTATATATAACGGCGTACTAACAATGCTATAGGGAATTGCTCAACTTCCTACTTAGTGGTGAAGATCCTGAAGTAGTCGTTGAGAAGATCCACAACCACCTTCGCGAGCTGAGCAAACAGATGCGCGAGTACGCCGTTCCAGCTCGCAAGTACACCATCTACACGCAGCTCGGAAAGAACCCCAAGGAGTACCCCAACGGTAACTCGATGCCCTCTGTCCAAGTCGCACTTCGCCTTCAAGCCAAGGGTAAACACGTCAAGGCCAAAGATGTCATGAGCTTCATCATCACAGGTGAATCATCTGGCTCGGCCGAGAGCGCAGCAAAGAACGCATATCCCGTTGACGAAGTTTTGAAAGCCGACAGTGAGCTGAAGCCCGACATTGACTACTACCTCCACAAGCAAATTCTGCCACCAGTGGAGCGTCTCTGCGCGCCCATCAGCGGAACAAACATCACTCTCCTCGCAGCGTGTCTTGGCCTTGACACATCCAAATACCGTGTGAGTACCGTTTCAGGAGGCGCACAACAAGACACCGAAATCCACCCTCTGGAGTCACAGATCCCAGACTCTGTGCGCTTCCAATCATGTTCGCCGCTTTGGCTCCGCTGCCGAGGATGTACGACAGTATTCCCATTCCAAGGCCTCTCTTCGACATCACCAACGTCGGTATCGTTGCAGACCATCTCGCACAGTGGTATACAATGTCCTGCTGAAGGCTGTGGGAAGATACTACAGAACATCAGTGTAGTGGCTCAGCTCGAATCCTCCATCCGCCAAGTTCTCGCTTCCTACTACGCAGGTCACGTTGTATGCGACGATCCCCAGTGCTCAAATCGGACGCGAAGTATATCCGTCTATGGACACCGGTGTCTTGGTCCAAAGGGACTCGCTCGAGATTGCTTGGGCAAAATGACCTACGAGATCAAGGAGCGCGACGTCTGGAACCAGCTGTTATACTACCAATCCTTGTTCGACGTCGACCGTGTTGGTACAATGGATGGTGGTGTCAAGACGGAAGACATGGAGAGGAAGGAGAAGATCAAGGTACTGGCGGAAGTCAACAGAGAGAGATTTGGCACGCTGAAAGGTGTGGTGGAGCGGTGGTTGGAGAGGAATGGAAGGCAGTGGGTGCAGATGGATAGCCTGTTTTCTTTTGCGCTTAAGGCATAGGCGGTTTGGTTTCGCAAAGGCGCAGCATAGGCGATGCATGATCGTCCGGGCGCGCCGTGGGGTTCATCTGGTTCTGGATCATGACGGTGTTTTGCATATAGTGTTGACGTTCTTGAATGTAGCTTTTGAACATGATATCTGGAAAATGCTGTATTGCTTGGGTATATGTATTACTTGTATTATAAATTACATCGCTTTTCGTTCACGATCAGATGTCGCTTGAACCAACGCACTGAAAGGTACTGATCATACAGTGGCAATGCCTTGGGGTACTTCGTTGTTATGCGCACCCTTCTGCCCAGCGCCCTTCAGGGCCTCGCGACAAGCTTCGTGGAAGACAGTAATGAATCGATGAATGTCGTGGAACGAGTTGTATAGTGGGGCAGGCGCAACGCGCAGAACGTCAGGCTTTCTTTCATCAACGACGACGCCACGCTCTTCGATGTAGTGTTGGACTTGATCCAATAACCCCGGGTTAAGAAGTACACTGAGCTGCGCGCCTCGTTCAGCCGGGTTTGCGGGTGTGATTATCTTGTATGGTGGCTCTCCTCCATCGTACTTCAGGAGCCGCGCCTCGAGGTATGCGGTCAGTTTAAGGCTGCGTTGACGTAGCGCGTCCATGTTTGTCAACGCAAAGACGTCTGTCGATGCCATGACGGAAGTCATATCCAGCGCGCTAGGGTTGCTGAGTTGAAACCCGCTTGCACCAGCAATGGGAACGAATTTGTTCTCCATTCGAAATCGACTGCTCTTATCGCTTCCCCACCAGCCGCTCAGCCGTGGTCGATAGGCGAGTTCTGTACCGTTACTGGCTACGCCGTTTGTGCCGTCTGTTCGAGCTGCAGATACTTGCTCCACCTTTCCATGTCTCTCATGTACGAAGAGTCCACCGATGACTCCTGGACCACCGTTCATATATTTGTAGTTGCACCACGCTGCGAAGTCTACGTTCCAGTCGTGTAGCTTCAGCGGGACGTTTCCAGCTGCATGCGCTAGATCCCAGCCCACTGTAATACCCAGTGATCGGCAGTGACGCGTTATGAGTTCTATATCGAAGAACTGGCCCGAGTAGAACTGAATACCAGGTAACAACACTAGTGCGGTTGTAGGCGCGTGGTGTGATATGACGGAGAGGATGTGTTCGTTGGAGAGGTAGGGTGAGGAGGCCGAGGGCGGGTCGATGGTAACAAGCGCAGACGGGTCGAGGTTGTGGTGGGCAATCTGAGAAAGAGCCGCGTACTACAAGTCGTTAATTACCAAGCGCTGATAGCATGTCGGCATCAACCTACATGATCGCTGGGAAACGCCTTGCCCTCGATGATGATCTTGTATCTGTCCTTGGTCGGTCGATAGAAACTTGCCATGAGCAAATGCAGGTTTGCAGTCAATGTCTCCATTACGACGACTTCGGTAGACAGTGCACCGACTATTTTCGCGGTTTGTTGTTTTATCGCATCATCAATGTGTAGCCATGGCGGCAGGCCTCCTTCGTAATCGGTAAAGTGACCAAATACGCCCTTAGATGCCCAAGTATCAAGATAGCGATTCACATATTCCTTGGTCCTCCGAGGCTGCAGTCCCAAGGAGTTGCCGCAGAAGTATATGGACTCTTCACCGTCGTCTTCGCGCGTGTTCGCAGGTTTTCCGTTCTGCTGAAACCCGAACTTCCTGTTCCTTAGGTCGCCCTTTGTCGGAATCACGAATTCGTCCCTCAACTTGCTCAGGTCATCTTTCTTATCTTCGTTTTTTGCAAACTCGTCGCTGCACAGTTCCGCCTGTGGAATAGCGAAATAAGGGTTGTGGTGTTTGGGCATTGTAGCTGGTGATGAAGGAAGAGCTACCAGGATTCGGACAAGACAAAGCTTGTGCAGAGGTGATGTAGCACTATCATTGAGGCTTCAGGGACGATAAGTAGATAGCTTGAGCGGGTAAGGCTGGAACAGTCTGGTGCTCGTACGATGGATGGTGGCGGCGGCACAAGGTGGGGTTTGTGCCTGCCTCAGCGGTCTAGAACCCCGAGTGTGAGGGCGCGTCTGATTGGATCCCGTCGGTTGTGACATTCCTAGCTATGACCTCAGACTCGCGAACCTTCATCGCGACAGCGCCCTCCACATCCTCGGTATCGCGATAATGGCCTCCCCTTCAACTATGTGCGCGTCGTGCCTGCGGATAGCAAGACAAACAACGACACGGCGGCCGGCCCAACCTATCGCCGCCGCAGCTCAATCAATGCGAGCGTACAGCAGAGCAGCACCGCACGCCACTTCGCCATCGCTATTCCTCGACTTTCTTGCGCCATCATCTCCACGAGGGACTTCAAGACTTATCCCAGTACAAGGTTTAGCATTCTCACAACCACAACACATACCACGACGAGCCCTCGCCACATCATCCGACGCCTCCACGGCAAAGCCCGCCCAAGCGATCCAAAACCCACGCACCGACGACTCCGGCAACCCCATGCTGATCTCGATAGCACCCCGTGCATCGAATCGGCTTCAGAAGATCTCCTCGGGCGATAACAACCCGAACCTCGCATTGCGCGTAAGCATCGAGAGCGGCGGCTGCCACGGCTTCCAGTACCTCATGGACTTGACCGACCTATCCAAGAACCCGGCGACCGAGGAAGATACCATATTTGAGGGAGAGAAGGGAGAGAAGATCGTTATCGATGAGTCGAGTCTGGAGCTGTTGAATGGAAGCACGGTGGACTATACCATGGAGTTGATCGGGAGCCAGTTCAAGATCACCGGCATACCGGGGGCGACGAGTAGTTGTGGGTGCGGGACGAGCTTTGACATCAAGATGTAAATTATACCCAGGCATTTAAGTTTACACAGGTCGGTGCTTTACGTGAAACTGGCCTCGTAATACACACGGAGTAACCCTGCATTTCCATAGGTAGCCTATCTTGACCACCTTTTGCGCGTGCTGCATGCAGCGATCGTCCTTCATACGAATTGTGGAAACAAAAAGCCTCTGATTTCCCAGGTATTCGAAGTGGTCGCTCCTAAGGGTCGGATTCACAGTCGCGTACGTGGTAGGCTGTGGGTGCGGCAGTTTCGCCCGTGCGTTTGTTGGTCCAGCGGCAATGTCGTTGGTGGTGTTTGCACGAGGTACGAATACCAAACGCATCGGACAGACCTCGCGACTTCCTTTACTCGAACCCTTCTCCTCCGTCCTCTTGCTCCGTCCTTTACGTGCGTTCTTGTAGTATTACATTATGCGAGACCTTGCCCCTCTCAAGACGACAATGTCAATACAGTCGGCACATTCTTTGCTGGAGCTTGATCATTTCGACACTTTCGACATCTGTCTTGACGAAGAGATAAAGATTCGTGTCAACAACGTTGATTTCGTGTTAATCGAGCATTGTCAAGTAATCACAACATTCTCCGTCTTGCCGCAATCGCCCGCTAAACATTACAGAACTTCCTTAGTTTCGATCACAATACTCTCACGTTGGTTCTTGTTTGTGTTATCGAACCAGGCCAGGTGATATCGAAATCCACCCTTGGAATTCTGCGAATAGAAAAGCTCCAGAAAGACGATGTCTTTCAGCCGGTATTCAGCAACACTGTTGTCTTCTATGGCGCCAAGCTGGAGGAGGTAGAGTTTCAGGAAGATGCTTTGGAGGCACTAGCTGCATGGGGTACCAAAACGTGGAGCTTCGTTCCAGGAGAAAACCATGGGCTTACGCGGACCGGCCCGTACGTATACGTTCATGGGCGAACATGGCAGCCTTGGAGAGTATACAGCGACTTCAACGGTACATTCATGTGTACATTCAAGGCAGGGTCTGAGAGTACTGGAAGATAAGCGCTTCTCATATCTTCTATCATCCAAAACTAACTGCGCTTACCCTAGTCAAAGTTGACGAACCAAAGGCTGGACTCGATGGAAGAGTCCTGGTACCATCACGATGCTACTTCAATCCGAGCAAAACCCGCCCTCTTGACGGTGCAAGAATAAGCGTCAAGGACAACATTGATATCGCAGGCCACAAGACCACCCTATGCAATCGTGCCTGGGAAGATTTATACCCACCCAGGTCCAAACACGCAGACTGCGTCCAGAGTCTGTTGGACGCTGGGGCTATCATCGTTGGGAAAACCAAGCTGCAAGCAATGATCATGAGGGAGGAGCCACTAGAGTGTGTGGAGTTCGCAGCACCGTTCAATCCTCGGGGCGACGGTTACCAAGTCCCTTCAGGAAGCAGTCATGGGAGCGCTGCAGGCATAGCATCATATGACTGGCTAGACTTCTCACTTGGTTCGGACAGTAAGTGGTTCGCAGTCGCTACATCTTCTCGCGCCGCTATAAAATATTGCTGCTATCATCCTATCGGTAAACTGACATTGATGCAGCAAACGGAAGTGGACGGAAGCCAGCGTCATACAATGGATGCTTCTCGATCCGACCCTCCACCGGCATTCTAAGTACCAACGGAGTCATAGGACAGTTCAAGTGAGTTAGCAAGACTAATGACTGCTTGCAGCGACTGACAGACGTCCTTGTCTTTTAGCAAGTTCGATATGCCCGTATTCTTTGGTCGAGATGTATCAAAGTTTGCAGATTTCATATCAGTATGGTACGGGAATTCTCCCATGCTTCGACAACCTTCGAATGTCAGTCATGGTTCTATATCTTCTCCCCAACTAAACTGTACTAATGCAAGGCTAGACGAGGTTCAGAATTCTGTATCCCCAAGACTACCTCCCCACTTCCAATATGGCGCAGTCTTCGCTTATCGACAATTTCGTCACGGGCTTGGAGTATGCTTTGGGAACTACAAGGACCATCATCTCCTTAGCAGATCAATGGAGCCTAGAGTGCCCAGATGGAAACGAGAATGCCGATCTGGCGGAATATCTTCGACTTGTACGTACTCCTCGTACCTCAATACCAGGAATAGCTTTACTGAATCATTGGCAGACCGGAAGTTACCCGTACTACCATGATTCATATCACAATCTACACGATTTCCGTAAGCTATACGAGGAGAAACACGGAAAGCCGCCTTTTGTTCACAGAGCGATGCATTGGCAATGGTAGGTGATATCTTGTTGAACACATAGCTTTGATTCACACTAACCGCCGACTGACAGGGATGTGTCGAAGAAGATTACAGTAGAAGAGCGAGACTTTTACTGGCGACGCTCTGAGCTATACCGAAAGTGGCTTCTAGACAGGGTCTTTGATACAAACAACAAAGACTGCATCACCATTATGGTATTTCCGATCGAAGAAGGAAGGCCCAACTATCGCGACGCGGTGCTACCGTAAGTAAAACAGATATACTGCAAGGACTCTACTCACTTACGTACATATAGACCTTACGCCATTCTCAGCGGGTATTCGTCGTTGAACATGTCTCCTATGCTACGCGCTCCGGAGCTCACTGCAATAGGTAAAGTGTCGTCGAGCATGTGTATTACATGTACTAACACTACTGCAGTCGGTGAAATCACGTATCATTCGACCGTGACTCAACGTGAAGAGCCTATGCCAGTGGCTGCATCGATCATAGGAGCCCCAGGTAAGCTAAAAATACAACAGCAAATCGTCCGCATGCCCGGTCTCTGACTATGCAAGGAACCGATATCATCCTGGCCCGTTTAGTGCAGAAAGGCTTGGAAGCCAGAAACTTGCCGATCAGAGTGAAGACGGGCCGGTCAGTATGTTGAAGAGGGTAGCTACGTGGATAGAGAAGTGAACAGATTGTTTTCGCCGAGAGAAAATGCACATATAGAAAACATCTAATTGATTGAAAAATCGTAGTAAACTCCGTGCTTCTCTACCGAGAAAGTACCAGGACAGCAAACCTTCAAAACGATGTGCCAACTCTCAGCATCACTTCAGGCTTACAACCACCTTCCTTGCCGAAACACCCTTCTTCTGTATTTTCAAAGCTGCTTGGATGGCTTCTAGACCCTCTCCAGCAATGGTTGGCTCTGGAGCTGCTCTGAATCGGCCAGTCGCGAGTGCCTCAGGCAGGAAGTCAGCGTACACGGCTTCGCCAACAGGGGAATGCGCCACCGATCCGTACACAAAACTTGTCTTGATACCTCTCAGCTGTGATTTGATGGTGATGGATATCATCGAAGTGGCGAAGCTCCAGACAATCTGCAGTGCGACAAATCGCTTCGGTTGAGCCGGGATTGGATATGTCGCCATCGCAATGCGCTTATTGCCTTTACATTTGCCCAGGACGTCTAGACAATGGAAAACTGCGTTTTCTCCAATAGACAAGGCTCCCGCGCACTCTTTCCCTTCCATGGCCCCGACGATCTTGTCGACTGTGGAGGGGTCGTTGTAGTCGAAGACTTTGCTAGCACCGAGGGATCTCATGAGATCGAAGTTCTTTGGCGAAGATGTTGTTATGACTTCGTATCCAGCGGAAACAGCGAGTTGAATAGCGTTGCAGCCTACGCTAGTCGAGCCTCCCCATACAAGGACGGTCTTTCCGGTCGGTTTCGGGTGAAGTTGAGGATATTGCAGACCGAGCTGATCCTTCTCGAACAGCCCTGCTGCAGCGGTAGTGAAAGCCAGAGGTATCACTGCAGCAGATTCGAATGACAAGCTGTTTGGAATAGACGATGTGTTCCTTTCCAGAAAAACGGGAAACAGCTGGAATGCTCCGTATGCCGCGCTGTTGATCTTCTTGTCTGTACTGTGCGCCTGACCTAGAACACGGTCTCCTAATTTGAACCGTACCACTTTGCTGCCGACCTGAACCACTTCGCCAGCGACATCAAAGCCGAAAACAAAAGGATATTTGATCCAACCGAACGCCATACTGGTGCCCTGGTCTTGCAAAACCCAATCGACGGGATTGATCGCTACTGCGCGATTCTTGACGACAATTTCGTTAGGTCGAGGTGTAGGGAATGGCGCTTCTGAGACTTCCATACGTTGTTTGGGTGCTGGCATCCATGCTGCGAGATTGGTAGGCATCGTGTTGGAGATAACCTTGGAACGGCTCGAAGAAGTGGTTATACGTTGACGAGATATCGAATGATGAGATAGACTGAATTATCTTTCTTTGCAGCATTCTCAACACCTTCATTCCTTTCCATCTTATACTTCTACCAACTCCTGGACTTGATGCCTGCTTGCAATGCAATCTCGTGGACGCGGAGCATTGCACCAATCAGAGGCCAGCGGACGTCCGTTTGGGCCCACATTTGAGCCACCTGCCGTCCGTAGGCTTACTTCGATTACTCTGACGCACACGACCCCAATAGGAAGAATGTGCGATTTAGTGTAAAAGCTCTGGTAAGATACGGCCCATGTATATAGCCGCCGACCTAAGTTCGTCCGTGCGTTTCGTGCTTATGTTGCCACCAAGATCACTACCTATGGTCAGCATGTCCTAAACACTTCATCATCTCCTAAGTACGCCTGAAGCAAACCAGAGAGATGACAAACTCGCCTATTTCCTCGGAACGACTGCTAGAGAGAATGAGAGGTCGGGAGAAGGCCCAGCTATCCTGTGATTTCTGCAGGAAGAGAAAGTAAGGAAGTGATTTACCTCATTACCAAGACACCTAACAGGAAATGTCTAGACTTCGATGTGATCGAAACAAGCCTTGCGGGAGCTGCATTCGACTAGGGCAAGTGGCAGGGTGCAGCTTCCCTCTACCCCAACTTCCGCGAGCTCCACAAAAAGACAGACCGATAGAGAGCGCCACGCGAAAGGCGTTCGAGGAACGAATTGATCAGCTGGAGTCGCTCGTCCGGTCTTTGCTTGACAAACAAGAAAAACTCCCTGATGCTCGGATGCCGGGGAATCTGGCGACCCAAGAGACTACAGAAACCGTCGCCGCGGTGGATCCTCTCGTATGTGAAGCTGGACGGATAAACCTGAACGACCATCAGTCTTCATACGTCGAGAGTGACCACTGGAAAGCCATCCTGGATGAGATTAGTGACCTGAAAGACATGGTACAGGAACAAGTTGAAGAACCACAACATACTGAGCCAACACTCCCTGGAAATGACCTATTTCTTCTCCAAACATACCCAGTTACAAAAATGGATATCGTCGCTGCAATTCCGCCCCGCATAATTGTCGATAGCATGATCTCGAAATACTTCAAATGGGCGGACATGCCCGTCTCACTTGTCATTCACCGCAAGGTCTTTATCAAACAATACGAAGCGTTTTGGGAAGATCCGCTTTCGACGTCAACCATGTGGCTGACTATATTATACGGCATGATGTATACAGTAGCCTATTGTACGCTATTCATGAACGGCGGTGCGGCCTCATTGGACGAGACAACAGCAGCCGAATATCACAGCCTGATCATCCTCTCACGAGAGAAGATGATACAATGTCTTAGGCTAGGTAACTACATGAAGGGCGTACCGCATACCATCGAGGCCTTACTGGCTTTCCTTCAGAGCGAATACGTTCAAGGCGAAGACACACAACAGGGCTGTTGGCAATTGACGGGCGTCATAATACGCGTAGCGCTCAAGATGGGCTACCACCGCGATGGCTCGCATTTCCCGCAGATGAGTGTCTATGAGGCCGAAATGTGCAGGCGTACCTGGTATATCCTCACCTAATTTGATATCGCCTCAGCTTCTGAGGTCGGTCTTCCGCGAATCATAAAGGAAACTCAATGCGACACCGCTGAGCCGCGCAATCTCCTGGATGATGACTTTGACGATACGTCCACCGTCTTACCGCCTGCTAGACCACAAAGCGAGCACACGCTGTCCCAATTCCTAGTATACAAGAGCAGGATAGTCTCCGTCTACGGAATGATCTGCGACTTCACGACGTCATCGAAGCAGCGAGACTACGACGAAGCAATGCGCTTAAATACGCTACTTAACACAGCGTACGCCCAGAAGCCTCCCATACTCCAGTTGAAACCTATGCAGCAATCTATCTTAGACGGCGCAGAGCTCATCACCCGTCGTCTCTATATAGCGATGTCGTATCACCACGCGCAGATTACCCTCCATCGCAAGTTCATCATTCTTTCAAAGACAAACAGCAAATACCAGGTCTCTCATTCGACATGCATAAGCGCAGCGTTGACAATGTTGCGGCTGCAAGCAGAATTATTCGAACAGTGCCAGCCAGGCCGTATGCTAAATACTGATCGATGGAAGATCCTTTCCTTGATCCAATCCGAGTTCCTGCTGGCCACAACAGTTCTGTGTCTCAATTTGAATGATGATATGAAGAAAGGGCTGGTCGGGGAAGAAGTGGCGCAGAAAAGCGTGGAAGCACTCAAGAGTTCGAGAAGTGTGTGGGAACAGCAACAGGGCTTCTCGAAAGAAGCGCAAACGGCCGTGAGAGCGGTGAATGCTGTTCTGGGTAAATTGGGGAGGGACCCGACAACAGACACCGATGAAGGTAATCTGGCAGGTGGAGAACATGGAGAGTCTTTCTCTTCATTCTCGGGAGACATCACTTCTGGCCCTAATCCGCTGGCATTTGAGGATGCCTCGCAAACGCAGCTTTCTCACAACATACCGGATGAACTTTTTGGCACAGCTTTTGACGAATTCTTGGTGATGGATCAAGGATTAGACGGATGGCTTCAGGTTTGAGATGAGGTTGATACATTACAAAGTCGGTCATCGTCTATCTCATAACTTCGGTAATATAGTATAGTCTTTTCCAGCTCTTCGAGAGCCCTACATCATATCTGTCGAATCGATGTACACCTAATCTTACACTGCAATCGCTTGGCTGCCTTGTTCGTCCTTCGGTTCTTCGTCAACGCCAAGACTTTCCATGATGCCCTTTGGAGCGTCTTCAGGTTTTGGCTCAGACTGGGCGGGCGGCTGCTCTACAACTTCGTCGAAGATTCCACCTTCGGGCTCTGTGCTCTGGCCAATGGCCTTTAGTATCCTCCATGCCCTCCTGAACTCGTCTCTGATAGCAACGATACCACGGTGAGTGACGGTCCTTGCGACATTGTGATCGGTCTCGAATGGATCTTCAATTGCGAACAGATACCGATTCGTGACCTTTTTTTCCGCCGTGATTTTGGTCGTCGCGCTCACCCAGCCCTTGCTTTGCTTCGACAAGATTCCGCCAGGCGTCCGAAGGGACAGGACTTCGTTGGTCCAGTAGAATTGCGGGGGCTTGGGTCCATAGCCGTACCCGGATAGAGAAGCGTAGTACTGGAAGAATCCGCGTAGCAATTCACCGACAGACTGTGTGTTCTGTGAAAGGCGACCGGCTTGCGCGGCCTGGATGATCTCCAGCTCGTTGCGCCAAAAGCGGACCTGATAGCCTGCTATAGTCGTGTTCTTGAAGAACTGCTCTAGAGCTACTGTGTCGCTCGGGAGCGGGACGGCGAGTTGGAGATTTGGACACACCGGTGGTTGGGCGACATTGACCAGATAATGCAGTACCATAAGTACCCATCCGTATGAAGAGAGAGTGCCAGAGTATGCGCTGTTGACTTTTCGTCGCTTGGCCCATGACTTAACGAAGAGAACCATTGGCCGTACACGAGGGTCAGTTAGGGAGTAGCATCGAAGCATATGAGTGTTATGGATACCGAGTGGGTTTTCGAAGTTGATGTCACACTGAATACCGCAGCCCGTCTTTGGAAAGTCGAGGGGACCGACTACCTTCTCTCGCATCCACTGTTTCTCAGGGCGGTGATGCTGATCTTTCTTAGCCTTTTCATCGGTTCCGTTGCTGACACTGTCTTCTGACTTGGTGGCCGACGTAATGGAGGTTTCCTGGGCGGTCTCAACTTTTGCAGGAGCTTTTTGCCGTTTCTTGGTAGTTGCCGCAGCACCTAGTGTAGGGAATTCGTCACCAAAGTTAGGGCTGTCTGACTGCGCAGTAAGCTCTGAAGCTTTTGCTCCATCAACATCTACCAGCGGCTTTGGCGGTGGGGTAGCCTCTTGTGGCTTGTCTGAAGGGTACTTCTCCTCTTCCGGAAGCTCTTCCCACTTCTGGCGTTCCTCGGCGAGAGCATTATACAAGGTCTCGGTTGGCGTCTGGCATATCTTTAGAATTGGTACTCTCGTCCTTGTGAGTAGACGGCCACCCAGCTTGGCGTCGAGAACTGCCCGTTCCAGCAAACGCGGGATGCCACGATCAATGGCAATATCACTAGCCCTCGCTGGATCTTTCCATGTTGGCACTACTGCCAGATCCATGTCTGAGCCGGGCATACCAAAGCCGGAAGCTAAGCTGCCAAAGCCTACCAAGGAGATAGTCGAGATATCACCAGAGTAGCCGCTGGCAAAAGCTTCTTGCATGATGGTTTCCAGGTGCTTTCGGAAGTCTTCTTTGGCCTCCGACTCGGATCTGGACATCTCCACCTTCGGAATCTCGGCTGCTGCAATTGCGTCCAAGTGTTTGACTTGGGCCATGGAGTTCTCTCGTGGTTGATTCATCGGTGGTCGAGGAGGATATTGACCTTGTGGACGGGGACGCTGTGTCGATGCTGGACCTACCGGGATTTGGCCTGGCAGTGCGAAATGATCATGAGGCCGTTGCATGATTCTAGGGGGCTGTGTGCGTGATGTACCATCAGCGTTCAGATTTTGTTGTTGATGGGGCCGCCCTCGCCCCCGTGAGTGATACTGTCGATTGTCTACCTGTGGGCCGTTTTGAGAGACATTTGGGCCTTGCTGGTCTGGGAAGTTTCGCGGAGGTTGTTGATATCGCTGGTTGGAAGCAAACCCTCTTCCACCCCCTCGGACTGGCGCCGTGTTGGCGGAGGCGTGGGCGCGCCATCCTTGAGCTTGATCTGGAGTAGGACCTGGAGTTGTGTGGTTCTGACCGTTGCTGTTGAAATTGTTGACGGTATCGTGTAAACCTCCACGACCTCGGCCACGACCTCTTCCTTGGCCTCGTCCGCGTCCACGGTGTGCTGACGGGGCGTCTTGACCAGACTGTCCACCGGCCATGCTAACGTTGCCGAGGATCATATTGCGCAATTGATTCTCGAGCCCAGTGGGCTGTGATGCATTTTCCTGCTCCATGATGTCGGATTAGTTTGAAACCGTTGGCGGTGTAAGCAAGTAGTGGAGTGTGTATCCGGTTTGACGAAGTCCGGCAGTGAAAGAGGGGCAGGGAAGAGATCTTATTAGGCCAAACTCGTATTCAGAGGAAGTGATTCTGGCTTTTTAAGTTGTGGATGTTTCCTATGACTTTGGTTGGTGTGGCGCGTGGCAGTTCTGGCGATTACTATGGGAGGAAGCGATTGGAGGCCCCAGTTGATGGATCTTATAGGAAGACTATTCACACCAGGCAACCATGGGTGAATGTCTTGTCTAGTCAAAGCGATCAGGCCTCGGAAGGATTTGGATTAAACGTCCACGGTGGCTCTTGTGCAAGGGATTGCTGGAAGTGCGCGATTCCTATGGTGGCTCATTCCTGGCGCAGCAACCGTGGAAGCGATGACGAACTGGATCGGGCAGTCGCTGAGTGGTGGCACTGTTTGGGAAGGCGGAGACGGCCTTCGCTGGAAACGGGCTTGGCGCGCTAAGACACTAGCGTGGAGCTGTGACGTTCGCGCGCGACACAGGCCGAAGTTGAAGGAACTCCCTGGGACAAAGGTGACTGCGTCTCCCCACCCTCACTATCGTCTGCCCATCGCCTCTCGCTCGTGCCCCCATCCCACCGCTGCCTCCGACATGAACGGCAACATGAACGGGAACCCGCCGCCCGCCAGCGCGCCCGCTGCGCCCGTCGCCGCCAATGGCCAGCAGCCGCCTGTTCGTCGCCGTCGCCCACGTCCGCAGGCCGATGTCCTGCGCAAGCCCCGCCGCCCACTACAGAACATCACGAGGCCCATGGTCTCGTTGTCGCAAATGAACGAGGCCAAGAAGCCCGTCGCCGGGCCCGCAAGCGATGGCACGCAGTCCAAAGACGCGTTGCGACATGAGTTCATTGCTCAAGGCGCCAGCAGCTTCCCACTTATCGTAAGCCGCAAGGACTTGAAAGAGCTGCGACACCATGTCATGCGTCTGCAGAGCAAGACGCACGTCGACATCACCGACGACAACCAGTTCAAGACGCCCATCAAGCTCCACCGCCGAGATCCCCGCGCGCCTCCAAGCGGTATGGGCTCCACGTACGAAGAGGAAGACACGAAGGAGGACATGGAAGAAATGAAGGAGCGGGAGCGCATCGAGCTGCAGAAGGAGGAGCGTCGCAAGGTTCGCGAGGAGAACCAAGCCAAGATCGCCCCTACTGGCATGAAGAAGCCACCTGCCTTCCACAAGAAGACGGAGCAGAAGTACCGGCCCGATGATACTCCAGAGGCAAAGAAGCGACAACTTCTGCGATACGAGGAGACGCTGCCATGGCATTTAGAGGACTTCGAGAACAAACAGACGTGGGTCGGCACCTACGAGTCGGAGCTGTCAGAAACACATGTCATGCTGTCGACCACCCGCCCCGGCGACCCCAGTACAGCAATTCAGATGGCCCCTATGGAGCGCTGGTATCGGTTCAACGTCAAGGGCAAGGTCAAGACTGGCGGCGATGATCTCGATAAGATTCTGGCCAAAGTTGAGAGAGGCGGCGGACCCAAATTTTTCGCCGAACTCGAAGAGCGTCAGAAGCAGCGTGT